GCACATTACGTGTGAGATGTAGAGTTGTTTGGTATTGCTAAAAATCTCTCTCTCTCGATTCTCGAGGTTCTCGAGGTGGATATCCTTTGGCCGCGTTGGGTAGCGAGGATTGGTGTAACCCGAGCCACGGAGGCGTGTTTTCTGACGGCCGACCGTCAGTGCACGGAGTTGCCCCTTCTCCGACTGCCCCGGCTAGTTCCCGAGGTCGTCGGGTGTGACCCCTTCGTCCCCCGAGACCTAGCGCGGGTGGGTTGGAGGGGCCTCAGAAAGGCGCGCAAGCACGCCCTACGTCTTCCCCTCCTCCCCATCGGGCCGCATGAGCGGCCACGCCTCGCAGATTCGTTTCCGCGCCTGGGTCAGGCGCGCGGGGCATCCCCCGGGTCGCTCGACCAGCGATCCGAAGAGTGGCCGCTATGCGAAGGAAAGAGTGGGGCCCTCGACGCCTCAGTCCGGCCCTCCGAGGGGGGAAGGGAATTGCGGGGTCCCCACGGGCGCCTCAGTTCGGCCCTCCCGAGGGGGGGAGGGGAGCAAGGGGGTGGGGGGATCGGGGCGGGGGGGAGGGGTCTCGGATTTCATGTGGCTAAGACTTGCCTTTCGGGGAGGGGCCTCAGGAAAGGCGAGTCCAGCTCAACCCTACGTCTTCCCCTCCTCCCCAGAGGCAGCGAGTAGGCAGCGAGAGGAGGTCTCGAGCGCCTATGTGAAGGTATGTGAGATGGTGATGGGAATGGGTGGTCGGGCGGGCTCTCTCTGAGACGGCCGTTCCGGGCATTTGAACGCGACCTTCGGGGGCAAAGACATGGGCTCTATGGCTCAGACTGGACTCCTCTTGGTCCCTTCTGATGCCCTAGGCCACACCTGGGCCTTACCCGGGGTTCTAGGGGGCGGGCTGGGTTTGCCCCCCCCAACTGGCCCGAGGGCGCTTAAGAATTCTTCTTCGCAAACCCCGCAACACCCTGGCGTGGGCGAGAATTCGACAGCTCCCTCTGTCGTTCCGGCGTCTGACAAGGCGCAGAAATTCCGCGATCATCAACTTGCGTGGGCCACAGCAGGACGCGCACAGGCTGGCATAAGCGCACCACCACCATGCCGAGCCGGGAGGTGCTCAAGGAGCTGCAGGAGGAGTGCCTGGCGGACGACGTCGAGCTGCCAGAAAATGCGGACGCGTGGACTGTCTCCGAGGCTCGCGAGTACTTTGAGAGCGGCGGCACGTCACGGCCAGGCCAGCCCGCGTGTGTGCCGGCGGCAGGTGAGAACGAGAGCAACCTCCAGATCCGCTGGGCGGTGGACACGGCAGAGTGGGACCCGCAAGAGGCGGAGTGGGAGGTGCTGCTGCGCACGCTCCCCGAGGAGGAGGCCACGCGCGTGATGAAGTTTCACTTCCGCGACGACCAGAAGCGCGCGCTCGTCTCGCGGCTGCTCCAGCGTCACGCGTGCGCCCGCTACCTCTCTCTGCCGCACGGCGAGGTGCAGATCCTCCGCACTAAGGGGCGCAAGCCGTACCTCGCCTCGCCGCACTCCTCGCCGCTCGAGGAGGCTTGTCTATACTGGAACTTCAAAGATCGCACGAGGGAGCGCTCTGTTATCCTGGCATTCGACGCCCACCATAGATAGGGACCTGCCGTACTGCGCGCTCGACCGCAGCTACCCCACGGGATGTCAGACAGTCGACTAGGACGGACTTGTTCCGAGCTGTCTGCCCTACAACTTCACAAACGT